TAGAGATGTGGGTACGGAGGAAAAGAGAGAGGGTTTTGTTTTCTGACACTTTTTGAGTTCCCTGACACACCGGGGACACATATTTATGTATAAAAGACATCAAAAAGTGCATTTAGCATAATAGGTCCCCTTTAAGTTTATCAGAAGTACCTGCTGTTAGTATAATATTTTCCTCTTTATTCTTTGCTTCTGCGTTTACTTTACTTGTTTAGCTTGTGGCAACAGGCAATAAGCTGCTTACCGTCACTGTCCAGGACCCAAATGGCGCAGAAACGCACCACAGCATTTGAGCACCTGCTGTAGTCTTTTAGTCTCTCATCCTATTAATTCAACTATCACTTTCTCAGAACCCTAGTTGACCTGGTGTGATAATGACTTTTAAATAATAACTATGGCAAGTAATTTAAGTTGGCCTCTCTACACCTCTGTCCCCCGTCCTACGCCCCTGGCTTAGCTCTATTCATAGAGTGACTTTGAGGTGTTAAGTATTCACACCATAGAAATAGATTCATCGTGGCAGCTTCACACAGACCAAACCTCATAAATCAAATTTTAGCAAATTACACATTCTGCTTTGAACATGATTTGAAGCTATGCTAAGTGCATTATGTCCACAGGTTGAGCAAATGTCATGAACTCAGAGACTGAGAAACCCTTTCAAAATCAAGCAGATCAAGTAGAAATGTTCCAGTGTTAAACTGTTTTCACAATCGTGACAACATGCAACAGTTTCATCTCACAGAAGATTATATAAAGTCAGCTCACACCCCAATATAACTTAAAGACATTACCAGTGATTAGTGTTTGATACCAGTGGGAGGTTAGGAAATCCACATCTAATTATATAGCTGGTATTCTCACATTGTAACATACACCACCCTGCAAAACATGCTGTACGCTGTAATGCACAGTAGCAACCTGCCATCCATCTGTCTGGTAAAACAACTTAGCACAGACACATGTGTAATGTAGAGATGATCAATCACAAACCACCAGCGTGAGCTGCCACTGACATACAGGATGTGTATCATGCTGAGAGAGCAATTTCACACACATGCATGTGCACACGGATACACTCATTTCCGCTTTTACAGAGATCACACATTTCTCTTTTCACATCTGCCAGTCAGTGATGAAGCAACCAGGCCTGAAATAAATAGCTGTGGCAAGGACTTAGTGTCTATAACATAAACAGTTACATTCTGAGCCATATGATGTGATCCTTACTACCATAGCTAATGGCAGATTGAGGCCAAATGGTGCTATATGCTATCAGCTTATCTGTGGTTAAGGGTGCTATTGACAGCCCTATGGGAACGCCCACCCAGAAGGCACACAAATCTGCCCAACAGCTCAGCTTATACCATAATGTTAGCCAAAATGCTAGTTAGTTGTTGTTCAATCTAATGCACAAACCAAGCCTGGCTGTGTTTCCACCGAATCCTGTTTCAGAACGAAATCCCCCAGAGAAGGAGATTGTGGATTTGTGCAACCCTCAAAGGCACCAGACTTCATAGACATCAACAATAATTTGAACTGGCTGATCATCATTAAAATCACACCCACAAATGAAACTCATCATCTCATTAGATGGTCTTTCCCTTTTCTAAGACCATAGCCACACGGAGACGATAACGAAAACGAACCGAATTTGATATAAAAAAAGTCTTCCGTCCACACGCAATCGGCACCAGAAACGTGTCCGTCCACACGAGACCGCTCGACCCGCTGGAGACACTGTAGTACATATGCCGGGCCTGTAAGTGGCGCTGTACTTCCACCACAAAATACACCAAAAGCAGCGAATAAGACCCCCGAGCGTGGTTGCCATGGTTGCCCTTCTGTTTATTCTGTAGTTCATGTAGTTCTCCATGTCCACTTGTTACTGATGGTTGTGATAGAGGAGCTGTAGATTTTGCACTAACATCTGTAGCATGGTCAGTAGCGTCTGGAGCACAAAAGCAACCCTGTGATCTGCCATTGTTGTTGTTGGCGAAACACAACAGCAGCGGTGGGGAGAGAGGCAGGGCTCTGGCTGTTTCGGCGGCTGCTGAGGCGACCGTGTGCTCCTGCTGTAAAAGGCAGGTGCACCGCACCCACTACCACTAACTCTGAGCCTGGCTCCCGAGCAGGACGTTCTCCCCGGTAGATGAAAAACACCCACCTCTCCACCTCTTCCAAGGGACGAGGGAACCGTGCGGGGGGGTCTGCTGGAGGCTCCTGCTGGGTGCACTGTCCTGCGAGATACCGGGACCTGGCTCGAAACACTCGGAACACTGTTGTTGTTGTTGTTGTTGTTGTTGTTGTTGGCGAAACACATCAGCAATGACGTGGGGGGGAGCAGTAGAGGTGGGGAGAGGCGGGGCTATTGCGTCATCATTATCAGGAAATGATCATATAGGGCGTACACACGGAGCCGTTTGGCCCCCCAGAGCGTTGCGTCTGCAGATCTACCCACCTTGGGACCCGTTATCATTATCGTTTCTGCGTTTCCCTGTCGGCCTTGTGTGTATATGATAGAGAACTGTAGCGGATACGACCCGTATCGTCTCCGTGTCGCTGCAGCATAAGAATCACCAACTCTTTAGAAACAAAGACCCACTTCTGGGGTCATTTGGGTGCATTTTCCATATCTCTGGACAACCCAGTCTCACGGCATTTCGTGTAATAGTCACGAAATTAATTTAACACGAATCAATAGATTCAATTAATTTCGTGATTATAACATGAAATGCCGTGAGACTGGGTTGCTCTGGAACCCATCGGTCGATTTTGATGATTGACACATCTTTTTAACCGATAGAGCCAATAGAATCGAGAGGGAATTTCCTAAATCCATCTAAGCCTTACCATTGGTGAATGGGTGATGCGCAGCCAGCAAGCCCAAAACCGGAGGCTCTCATACACTCTCGTAGCTCTCATAGCAACTATCTTGTTTCTGCAGAACCGATGAAGTATAAAATATTTCTACCGTGAGTTGTGTGCTAAGTGCATTTTTTCGCTTAGTGCTAATGAGGCTTGGTATTACCCTTGTGTTTCGTTTAGCTAAAAATTGTTAATATTGTCTGATAGCTGAGTTTCTTCCCCCAAGTGGGTATGACACATTCATAGTTTGTTAAATATTAAGAAGCCCTCAGACGCTGTTTCTTGCAAGATGTTGCGTTTTGCCAGCATGGGGCTGTAACAAGAAACCCCTAACAGCATTAAGTTAGATAAGAAACTGCGCCAGAAAGGCTAACCTTGCTAGCCACCAACATTAGCTTATTAGCACAGCCTTGACAGTAAATACATTCCTGTCTTTCACCTCCTAAAAAGCATTATTGACCCATCAAAAACACACATAACTGTCTGTAACTTTGTATGATTTTGTCTTGGCAGTTTGATTCTCCACAAGATATAATGTTAACGCTATGTAAAGTTCAAAGTAAACAGCTTTATTTGAGGCTAGATGTTTTATGGTTAAAAACGTCCATGGCCTCTGTCTCTGCCAACAGTCTTGGTGGTCTTTATCCTCTTTCACCATCCATCTGCTTATAATATTTGCTTATTGCTGATGAAACATACCCCAGCTACTGTAACAGCATTATGTTATCACTGTGAGAAATGACACTCAAAATCAGAGATGCAATATACTTTCATAAAGGATATTGTTCAAGGTTTCACTAAAATGCAAGAGTGACTCATCATACCAGGGAAAGTCAGGGAATGAAAGTGTATGTTTGCTCAAGTCAATGAATGAACAGAACCAGCATTCATGAGAGGTATATTTGGACGTGGTTAGCAAGCAGCAAACTTAGTTTTGCTGCTAAATAAATTCATACTGCTGCTGCAACTGTCATACTGCTGACAGGAAGTCAAATTTTTACTGAGTTGCTATCGGGTAAAATTCACAACTAGACTGAAATTAGAATGTTATCTCTTGGTAAGTTAGTTATCTGTGATGTATTTCTTTTCCACTGTTGATTAACAACAAGCTGAAAAGCTGAACTGAAAAGCACAACTTAGAAATGACCTAGATTTTTTTTTAAAGATTTAAAGGGAAAGCCCCTTGTTATAGCTAAGATGCACCTTTTCAATGTCTAACAGAAACACACACACACACACACACACACACACACACACACACACACACACACACACACACACACACACACACACACACACACACACACACACACACACACACTTTGTGTAGCTAAATATATCAGTAACTGATAGCTCTGCTGGTTGATGGGCAGGAACACTTCTGGTCCTGGAATTGATACAGAAAATGAATCGCAACAGACACCAGGGAGTGTGTGTGTGTGTGTGTGTGTGTGTGTGTGTGTGTGTGTGTGTGTGTGTGTGTGTGTGTGTGTGTGTGTGTGTGTGTGTGTGTGTGTGTGTTTGTTAAGGAGTGTTAGAAGAATATTTGAACATAGAAAGTCGTGTTATACTGTTTTGAACAATGACTAAAATACTACTATATATGAAACAAATACCTTCAGAAGGGAATACACTGAATAAATCCTCTTCATGCTCCCAAACCTTGCCCTATTTTCTTGGCATTGGTGAGTACCTGTTCTGTTGACCCGTTGCTGCATTAGAGGACTTTATTAGACTTTGCACCCGGGCCCTAATTGATTTTTGATGGATGTTGCGATCGTAACCTGGTCTCAGAATAGAGTCAAACGTTGGGCTGAACCCAGAGAGACACACAGCCAGCCTCTGATCTCAGCTCTCACACAGACAGGACATACCACAGCTCTGCGGCAAAGCTAAGACAGGAGCAGAGATTCAGAGTCGCAGATAGACCAGAGAGGAATGGAGATGAAAGGGGGAGTCGGAGGGGGGAACAGAAAGGTGGAGTGTTAGGAGAGGCCTTTGCTAAACAGATAGAAAGATGCATCTATAACACAACTTCATTCATCTTTCTATGTCTGCTCTATCTCTACCCAGCTCTCTCCCAGTCTGTCCCTCTCTTACACACAGTTTCTCTCTCTCTCTCAGGGGGCACTCACCTGCAGGGGCCCGCTGGCTGGCATGGTGGATCTCAGCGACGTCAGGTCGATGTCTCGGATCTGCTCCCCTCTCTCTGTCTTCCCAAGTCCCTGCATAATAAGGCCCGAAGTGTGCAAGCAACCCAGCACACACACACTCTCACACTCAAGTGTTACCCCCACAGCGGAGAAAATGCTAATGCAAGGATGGCAGTGGTTGCTATGAAAGGAAATGACCCTGGACGCCAGGCACCAAGCACCAGGCCGGAGAGACAGCAGAGAGACAAACAAACGGCTTATTCACCCGCTCCCTCTCTCTCTCTTTCTCTCTATTCTCCACTTGTACCAAATCTAGGTTGTCGAAATGCTGGAAATGGACATCAGGGTGAAAACCAAGCAAATATTGTCCAAGTTTTACCATATCTTAAGTTAGGCCTGTCCCTATCCATGATTCTATTTGAATTTCCAAACCAATATACACCAAGTAACATGTATTTGTGCTTGTTTGCCCAACAAAAACATTCTGCTGTATTTCTGTTAAGTTAACTGAGGTCAGATGTCTTCTTGTAAAAGCACAGAGGCTCCACTGTTGGGAGTTTACAGCTCTCTAAAGCAGGGAACCCCGGACCCCCAGGTAACAGGGACCTCCATATACCATGTGCATAGGAGCAAAGCCATGTTACATCATCAGTGTTACCAACAACCCTGCCTCTAACAAAATGACTTGTCCTTACCCTAACCTTAACTAAACTGCATGATCACTTGTGTTTTGAGGAGAAATGTTTTCTCCCAAATTCTAGTTAATTAAAACAAAACAAAAATTAAACTAAATCCTGTTTTTTAAATTACGTATATAATTTAAAGTCAGTTCAAATTGACTTTTGGTTTCACTTGCGATAAGAATACCTGTCTCCTTGGTGAAAGTCACAACCTCCTTTCTATGAGGACTTTCATATGACATAAAGTCAAAAAATAAACGTCCATGAGGAAATACGTTTCCCCTCAAAACACAATTGACAATGCAGTCTCAGCTTGACCCTGTATGACACTCGATATTTTTGATTAAAGGTTTAAAAAGAGAGAAAGACAAGGAAAGGAACCAGCAGACAGAAACCCTTCAAACACAGCGGTATGGGTTTGTCAGCATGAGCGGAAAATACAGGAACCAAAGAAAAGTAGACACAAAAAAAGAACACACTCCAAACAAATACACACATGCCACACATATTTGTTTCTCTGGCTTCTTTCTCATACAAACATATCAGACCACCAACATTGTGCAACACACACACAAGGTTTTTCCATCTTGTTCAAATACACACACACTCACAGTGTCCTCAGGGGAGTGATGGTTGTCAACAGTGATTAAACACATACCTCTGCAATCCTATAATCCTCAGAAAAATGATCACTTCAACGGCAGGAATTTCATTATGTTAATGTTACCTGAACAGAGCATCACACATAGGAAACATGTGTCCCACTTTGACCCATGCTAGGGTACAAAGGGATGAAAACATCTCATATCTTTTTAATGTTTTTGGAGTTATACAATATGGCACTCCCATCCCACGTTTATCTCAGGTGATAGTAACCCATCCAGGCTCGTGGCCTTTTTTTTAATCAAATGCAGAATTCAAGAGCACTGTAATTAATTTTCTGAGAGCATTGAATAGCTTAACATCCCCTCTGAAATCCACTTTAATATGCTCTAGTAGAAGGATGAACACGGTAGATACAATAACCAACATAAACTGTCATCACCACAAGCACAAACAATAATGTATCAAAGAAAATTCTTTATACATGTGAGTCGTCATTTTTCTTTCATATTGCAGGCATAGACTACGCAAAATCAAGATGATCTAGTATTGATTATGACACTAAGCTGTTACTAATACTGTCCTTGGAGAGTGGGAGCCGTAACATCTGCCCTTCGTCTGTGTTGTTCTTGATACAATTGCATCAACAAGCTTCCAGGAACTGTCAGCTGAATCCGTTGGAGAAACTGTTTTGTTTTTGTGGTTTTCCAGATTTACGCTTCTGCTGTCTTTCAGATATTTGACTATTAGGATGGACTGTTTAACTTATGCCTGGGTTAGTGTAATGTTTGAGCAACAGGTCTCAAGTTAATCCTCAAATGAAAGGTTCAAAACAAACCACAGAACTTCATTCTCAGAAACTGAGAGTGAGTTCCTCAGGCTTTGGTTCCTAGAAAAGGAGAGTTTTTGAAAAGATGCCAATTACTCTGCTCTGACTTTTCCCAGGTCTCCTATAAGATACTGTGCAGATAAATGATGTCCAGCTGCACGGTAAATGTATTGACTCCCTTCCCTGACTTATAGACACTTAAAGGATGGGCTTGTTTTGACTGCTAAATGTCGAATGCTTTCAGATAGGGTTGCTCAGTTTTGTGCACGTCTGTAAACACAGTAAAGACCAAGAGGTTCTTAAGGGGAAAGCGGTGGTTTGAAAGGTTCATTCAGGGCATTTCTGACTGTTGTGTGCATGTTTCTATAACGTGAAATATAAAAAGTTAGTAAAGCCCATGCTTGTAATTTTCTTAATCCTTGATCGCTTTGCTGCCTCTATAAATAAAGGCTGCAGGCGCTTTGTGCTGCTTCTTCTAGTCTTGATGTTGCAATGTTTCTCTTGACTGTAAACAAAGTTGTGAGCTGTTGCACCACACTAACAAAACCTGTTTTAGTATTATCTCTTGTGAATGAATGGGAAGAACTATTTGTGTATGAAGTTTATGAATAGAATTACTCCATGTACTGTGATGAGTGGATACTTCCAGGTCGGCTTTAATCCTTTCGTGTGGATTTAAATGTGCTTATAAGCAGTTAATGAGGTGTTAATGAGATGAAGTTACAAGCTGTCTGAGGAGCTTCGGACGGAAATAAATGGCTTTTAAAAAGAAAACCTTTTTATTGCTTTTTAGATATATATACACTGTAAACATAAAGAGGCCTTTAATTGAACATTTGTTGAAGCTACAGTGGTTGTGGTTTTTGGAACCAGACGTGAACATATTTGGAAAAGAGGATGGAGGTGTTTTCATAGTGTCCTAATATGGAGGACAAACAGAATTGCTGCATTGAAAAGAAAAAGTACAATATTTTGTCTTCTGTTTTTTGCCAACGCAAATAAAGTATTTCTTTTTCAAACCACCGGCATGTTGAAGCAGTCACAGTTAGTGTTTAATTATGTTAGTGCTGTCTCGCCATGGTCTCGTCGGTTGTTTATGAACATATTAAGTCTTACTTTTTGTCAGTCAAACTCTTTACCTGAGGGAGTGTTGTGTTAACTGACACATCCATTTTATCTCCTCATAAAACGGTTGCAATGATTAAAGTGAAAAAATCCTATTTAATATGCGAAACAAGTACTGTATGTAAACTAAGCAACCAAACAATCATGAAGCAGGATATCTTGTTGCTATCAAGTGAGTTTTAAAGACTCATATCACAGGGTTCCCCTTTTAAATTAAGTGTAATAATTGGAGGCAGCATTTTATACGATAAAATACAATTATAATTTATAGTCAGATCAAGTCTGCCATTTTTCTTGCATCACAGCAGCTCCATTTCCAACATCAAGGACACATATTTAAGACAAGATACAAGGAAACAGACATTTAACAAACATCACGATTTAATCTTTAATTTTGTTCTTACATTTTATTCTACTCACAAATATTATTTTATGGAGCTAATAGCCGCGTTCACACCAAGTACTTTGCCGTACTTAGTGCCGGCACTTAGTGCCCCGGCACTTATTACCCCAGGGCACTTAGTACAGATCGCGTTCACACCGGAATAAGTTCCCTGAGGGAAGATTACGCAAATGAGCCGCTGACGTCACTTCTTCTTCTTCTGCTTTGGGTTTACTGGCAGGCCGCAAACCACTTCACGGTGTATACTGCCACCCGAAGTCCCCGGCCGGAAGTCCCCGGAGTTGGGGACTGGCTTCAGTAGAAGCTGCTGGGAGTCCCAGCAGCTTCTACTGAAGCCTTTCGAGTAAATCGCCAGAACGCCGACACCTCCTCATCTCTACCGCTCCCATGTTTTATTTTGTGTTGCCATAAGTTAGTCTCTCTGCGTTTGTGCGCTGGGCGAATGCTAATGCTAATAATGCTAATGCCAGGATAATAAAATGGCGGCTCTACAAAACATTTCAGAGTTGTACGGGGCGTGGTTTGCAATTCGCCCAGCCAATCAGAACTGGGGCACTTTTTTTTCCCAGGAAAGTACGATCTCTCAGCAGGCACTAAAAATGGGGGTAAAAGTTCCCGAGATGAAGTGCTCTTTTTGGTGTGAACGCAACATAAGGGGTACTAACGGAACTAAACGTGAAAAGTACGGGGAAAAGTACTCCGGTGTGAACGCGGCTAATGTTAGCTGAGGTCGGTCGCTAGCTAAAGCTAATAACATCTAGTGACCAGCTATTTCAGCCAGCCAATGCTCAAACAACTTTGCTTAAAAAAACTCAAAAAGTGTTTGGTGGTTAATCTTTTATCGTTATGTAAACTGCATTTGTTCTGTGAAATTCGAAAGTTGCCAAGCTTAGCTACAGTAACTATGAGGGGCGGGGCTTAGCAAATGGTCAATTGAGACTTGAGACTTGGATATTTCTAAAGGACTTTAAATCAGCTGGGGCGACGCGTGACACTGTGTAATGATACTGAATGAGACTTATACAATGCTCTGTCTTTGTCATTCTGTCTCTTGTTGTACACTCAGTATCTCTCTCTAACACACACACACACACACACACACACACACACACACACACACACACACACACACACACACACACACACACACACACACACACACACACACACACACACACACACACACAGGGCCTCAGCAGCTGCCAGTACCAGGCTGCGCTGACCTCTCGCTCTTTACCTCTGTCTGCCATACATGCACATACTGTACAGACACACATTAACACACACGGCCGTCTCTCCTTCTACCATGACAAAAGGGCCTTTATGCTGCAAGAATGTTCATTATAGTGCACCAAACACACACTTACAGACACACACTGACTCCACAGGTAACGCACTTCAAAGTTAGAAGAGGAGAAATGCCCATCTGACCACACACACACACACACACACACACACACACACACACACACACACACACACACACACACACACACACACGGGCAGATATATAAACACATATTAACAGGCCCACATTGGGGGTACCATGGGATGACGGTGCAACAGATCAAAGTGTGTGTATCACCGAAAGACCTGCAGGTGCACATGTGCTTTCATGTAGTCCACCTGCTCACTGGTGTGTGTGTGTG